GTCCTACAGGGGGAGTGCCACTGCGCCAAAAGTTTGGCTTACGGCTGGTGAGTGCAATAGCAGTGGCAAGAGCCTCTCCCGCCTCCATGGCAGCACTAAGGGTGTCCAACTGATGGCAGGGAGCGGGCCTAAGCCATCAGTTGGACATCCCCCAAGGGCTCCCAGCCTGTAAGAGGCTCAGGTCGGGCTGAGGGACACCCACCAAGTGCATGAATTTTGTGCACCAGGCCTCTAGTTGTTATATAAAGGATGATGTGAAGGAAATCATCATCTAAATAAATATAAATGGCATGAAATAGGTTTCCCTCGGTACAGTTTCCTGAGGTACTGTCCCAGTAAGAGCTCTGCTTGTATAGTTGTTACTGAGCCCCCCTGGGTGCCCATTTATCTTTCCCAGAGCTGCTCTCATCATCCACTGTGCATTCTTCCTGCAAATGCTCCAAAACACAATCCTCCATTGTGCTTCCAGGTTTTCAGACCCTCCATTACCCTCTGATTAGTTAATCTTTCATTTAACAGACACTTATTGAGCACCTCCTACATATTGTAGACTGTGAATCAGCCATGAATAAGAGAGAGAAGGTCCCTGCCCTCACAGGGCTTACATTCTAGCAGGAGGAGATCTAGAGGCCCGAGGCCAGAACAGATTAAGCTGGGACAGCAGGGATTCTAATGCCTACCTCCAGAGAATTAAAGGAGGTGATACCCATAAAGCACCCAAGTTGAGCTTAACTCATCATGGGAACTCAACATGCATTTCTTTCCCTCTGACTATTTGGAGGTTAGCATTGCCTTCCCGTTGTTTTTTGTTTGTTGTTTTTTGGGGGGATTTCAAGCATTTTTGAGCTGTAATAAATATAGGGAATGAGGGTAAAAGGAACAAATGTGAAGCAAGTTACAGAGTTGTTGGAATCTTAATGTCTCACATTTTCTCCCAGGTGTTCAATGAAAAGAGAAACTATTGTGTTGCTGCTCAATCTTTCTGGAAACCAACTTAATAAAATGTATCAAGCATCTTAAACATGCCATCTCTTGCAAATTATTGCTTTTAAATTTGTAAGTAGCAAACATTTTCTGTGCACCTCTGTGCTAGGTCCTGTTTTAGGGGGTGTGAACAAGACAGATAAGGTCTTAACTCAGATGAAGTTCACATTTTAGAGAAAAGAGACAGCATGTAATACATAAATAGACACTAATATTAAACAATACGTGCTAGGCAGGACACAAAATAAAACAGTGGTATGCTAAAGAGACTGGGAGGTGGAAAATGAACCAGATTGATGGTCAGGGAAGCGCTCCCTGAGGTGGTGACAGCTGAGCTGAGACCAAAATAACAGGAGCTCCCCACACCCTGGCACCCCACCATATGCCTGGGGGAGGGTATTCATCCAGAGGAAGAGCAGGAGCTAAGTCTTAGGTAGGAGGTGGTGAAGCTGAGAAGCAGAAGGACCCCGGGGCTGAGGCAGAAGAGCCAGGGCACACAGTGGCAATGAGCTAGAGAGGTCTGCAGGCCGGGTACGTCAGAGTAGGACTTTGGGTTGTCCAAGGGTGATGGGAAAGCAGTGGAAGGTTTTAAGTAAAATAGTACCAGGATTTAATTTAGAGTTTAGCAAGCTCATTGGCTGTGTAGAAATTGGATTGTTCAGGTTCAAGAGTGGTAACTCACCAGGAAGCTGCGGCAGTTCTGTAGGGAGAAAGCACAGTGATAGTGTAAGTGGAGAGAATGACAGATTAGTAATATTTTGGAGGTAGAGCTGAGAAAACTTGCCGATGAATAGTGGAAGAGAGGAAAGAGGAGTAAGGGGTGACTGTATGTTTATGGTTGAACAACTGGGTCATTATAGTAACAATGAGATGGGACAAATGGGGGGAAGAATGGTTTGGGGTGGGATTACGAGCTCTGTGGGATCGCTTTTAGTCTGAGATAGAATATAGGCTATGGAGCCAGACTACCTGATTTCTAATCCTATTCTAGATTGTTGAATGATTTTGGACAAACTACCTAACCCTTTGTGCCTCAGTTTCTTCATCTAAAGAGGTTTTGTGAGGGTGACATGAGTTATTACAGATAGATTAATGCCTACGTTCTTACTCACTCAGCAGGCATTTAGTATCTCTAGGCACTAAATTCTGAGCATATAGCAAAGAGCAAATCAGACAAAATCACTGCTCTCGTGGAATTCATATTTTGGTTAGGGGAGGGGACACAAACGCAGTGTTAAAGTATTTGGTATGTTGGATGAAAATAAGTACTAAGGAGGAAAATAGCGCAGGGAAAAATGGTAGTGAGGAGTGGGGTGAATTGCAGTTTAAAATAGGAGGACTTACTATGGTAGTTGAGGAAAGATCTCAAAGGAGGGAGGGTGCCAGCCATGTGGACATGGGGAGGGAGTGGGGAGAGTGTGCCTGACAGGGGCAAGAGCAAGTTCAAAAGTCCTCAGGGGGAAGTTTCCAGAAACAACAAGAAAGGTGAATCTGAGTGACAGGAGGATAAGGGGTAAATCAGAGGGCTCTGAAGGCCACAGGGAGGACCATGGCTATTATTGTGAGCCCCGAGGGGTCACTGGAGGTGGTGAGCAGATCAGTGACATGATCTGACTGACATTTAAAAACATCACTCTAGCCTGGGTGGTGTGGCTCAGTGGATAGAGCGTTGGCCTATGGACTGAAAGGTCCCAGGTTCGATTCCGGTCAAGGGCATGTACCTTGGTTGCAGGCACATCCCCAGTAGGAGGTGTGCAGGAGGCAGCTGATCGATGTTTCTCTCTCATCGATCTTTCTAACTATCCCTCTCCCTTCCTCTCTGTAAAAAAAATCAATAAAATATATTAAAAAACAAACAAACATCTCTCTAGCCTGGCTGGTGTGGCTCAGTGGTTGAACGTCGACCTATGAACCAGGAGGTCACAGGTCAATTCCTGGTCAGGGCACACGTAAGGGGACCCTTGAGTCCACAGGCCGATGCTCTATCCACTGAGCCAAACCAGCTAGGGCTCCCTCTCTCTTCCTCTCTGAAATCAATAAAGGTGTATTTAAACAACAACAACAAAACACAAAGAAACAGAACATCTCTCTGGCTGGCAAATTGAGAATAGACAGGGCAGGGGGTGGTTACTTAGAGGGCTGGTGCTTCACTCCAATGAGGGAGGACTAGGATGGGGCAGTACCAGTAGAGAAAATTTGATAACAAATAATACAAAGAATTCAATATAGAGAGCACCAGATGGTAATATGTGCTATGCAGAAAAACAAAAAAAAAGGAATATGTGCTATGGAGGGAAATAAAGCAAGAGGAGTATAGAGAGCATGGAGGATGTTACAACTTTATTTTTAATTTTTAGTTATAAGACAAAGTTTATTTAGAAAGTTGCAGAGATAGTAGAAGTGAGCCAGCTGGGCTTCTGGAACAAGTTACCGCAGCAAAAGAAGGGCCGTTGGAGCTTAGGAGAGAGAAAGGCAAAGGTAATGCGCGCCTGAGGGAAGAAGGGGAAGGGGAAGGGAAAGACGGGAAGCCAGTGAGGGAGGACGTTGCAGCTTCAGGATGGGATGGTGGGGAAGACCTCACCAAGATGGTGGAAAAGAGGGGGCAAACCACGGAGCTGTCTGGGGAAGGACTTGTCAGGCCAAGTGCTAAGTCCTGCAAAGGCCCTAGAGTGGGAACATGCTTGGCACTGTGGGAAGGAAGCAGCAGAGGATTGACACAATCAAATTCACCTGCTCATTCTGGCTGCTGTGTGAAGAGCAGTGTGTCAAAGGGCAAGCGTGGGTGTGGGGATACGATTAGGAAGCAGAGGCAGCGATCCGGGTGAGATAGGAAGGCAGCTGGGCAGTGCGGCAGCTGTAGAGGTGACGAGGAGCAGTCAGATTCTGGACACGTGGGCATGGGAGACAGATCCAACAAGATTGGCTGACAGACTGAATGTGGATGTGAGAGAGAGCAAGGAGTCAAGGATGACTCCAAGGTAGTGGGCCCAAGAAACTGGAAAGATAGAGCTGCCATTTATTGACATAGGGGCGGCTGCAGGAGAATATACGAGGGGAGGTCAGGCGTTTGATCTTAGAGTTGTTTTGCTTGGGGCCGTCTATGAAACACACTGTAGAGATGCTGAGAAGGCCGAAAAATTTACGAGTTTGAGGTTCAGTGAAAACAAATACAATTTTTGGAGTTAGTGGTCCTTAAAACCACAAGACCAGCGGAACTCACCTAGGCAGAGTGGAACTGGAGGAGCGAGAGCCTGGGGTGGAGGCTGGACTCACTCCAACACCCCGAGGCTGAGCAGGGCCCAGGAGATGGAGCAGGCAGCCGTGCTCAGGAGGCCCCGGAGGGCAGCTGGAAGTGAAGACTCTCACCCAGTCTTTACCCAGGATGCCAACCACTGTTTAATGCTGGGAGAAAGTGCTCGTCAGAGGTGACTCGGGGGGAAAGCCCAATATGAAACACAATGTTAATAGTTCTTTACTGTACATGGTGGTGGTTGAAGACTATTCCTTTCTTCTTTACAATTTTCAATATTTTCTTAATTTTCAACTCTGGACGTGTATTACTTGTATACTAATTCTTAGACAAGGATATTTGAAAATAAACAGTGGAAAGGAGCTTTGCTGCTCGGTGAGTTCTCCAGCCTATTTCTACCCAAGCATGTGCATACAAAAGGGAACTCAGGTCCTTTTCTCCCCAGGGGGTGCTGTGGAAGGGGCAGTCCCGGGCCTTCAGAAGGGCTTTGGCCGTAGAAGCACCCTGGGGTGAGGGGAGATGGGTCAGATAAGCACTGGAGGCCCAATCTGAAGAGCTGCTGACCTGCCAGCCATGCTTCTCAGGGCCAGGAGCGCCAGAAATGCCGCGGGCGTCCCTGGGACAGACAGTAGGTTCACACTGCTTGGCCCAGCATGGACGGACAGATGGACAGAACAGCACTTCATTAAAAAAAGGTTTATTAGTTTCTGTGCTGTCCAGTGCAAGTGAAGATAGGCTCCCTCCCCGGCCTCCCCGCCCGCGCCCCTGGGGAGCCGCTCTGCAGCAGACCCCCATCTTGAGGCAGTGTCCTTGTTCATCTGACTCCAGTCCTGTGGCTCCTGGCCCAGGGCTAAGCCCCACCTCGAGAAGCCATAGGAATAGTTTCTCCTGAGCGACTGCTGCCTCCGGCATCTGAGAAGACACCCCGGCTGCCGGAGGCTGGGGCCACGTCCACCTGGATGACACCGTGCACCTGCGAGAGCTGTGGGCTGTCCAAGCTGGCGATGAGCTGGCGGGGCCCTGGTCGCACAGGCACGAACGTCTGGCGCAGCGTCACTGTCTCGTTGCCCCCAATGTCCCTGTGGGCAGAGACAGGGTCATGGGCCGGGGGTGACTCGGGGCGGAGTGGGGAGGAAGGACTGGCGGGGCAGCCAGGAAGGAAGGAGCAGAAGGAGGAGCCCTTCAGGCACAACAGGGATCCCCACACCCAGGACCAGGACAAAGCCTGAGTCCCAAGGCCACCTCCACACAGATCAGCAGTCACCCACACAGCTGCCTGAGTTAGAAATGTCCCAGTCATCCCGGTTCCTCCCTCCCCCTCCCACAGACACCTGGGCAAACTCTTGCACCGCCTCCCCCTCATCTCCATTGCCAGCTGCTGCCTAACCAGACCATCCCCGCCCCACATGGAGTTTCTGAGACCAAGGACACTTCAAATGGAGACTTTGGGGCTCAACGCAGTCTTGCCAAATACTTTCAGTTTTGCCAAGGAAGAAAGTGGCCACAATCATCTTTCCAAAGGAGCATTTTAATCCTCAAAACATTGGGAAAATGTTATCTCAGAAAAAGGAAGTCTTTCCCAAGAACATACATGTTTGTGTGTATGTGCATCACACACACACACACACACACACACACACACACTACAGTGCTTTTATTTTCTCCCTTCTTAATGGATCTCTGAAAATCTATTCCCAGACCACACCTCTGAGAATCAGTTTCACCAGCCTTCTAACTGGCCTTCTTGCCTTTCATCTCATTTTTCTATTCTATTCTCTGACCACTTGAACTTGAACTGAACCCTTCAAGGGCTTGGCTTCCTTGGTGCTTAAGGAATGAGACTGCAGCTCCCTAACCTGACACACAGGCTCTCTGTGACTCAGCCTGCCGGCCTGCACGATCTCATCATCCCCCACCATTCCTCCTGCCCACCAGCCTCCATGGGCTCCTTCCCTGCCCTGAACCCACCTCCTCTTTTATGCGTTGCCCTGGCTGCCTGTGCAGGCTCACCCCACCTGCTCAGGGAGGGCTCCTTGAGAACCTGCTGCCCTCAGGAAAGTGAACCTGGCCCTTTGCAATCTGCATGTGTGCTTTATTTACTGACTGTGATTGTACTTATATCACACCTGCTCATGCCTGTTAGCATCTATCCTTTCCTGCCTCTGCCTCAGTCCTTACCTCTGGCCTCCACTCAACTCAAGCCTGCCATGGGGACCCTCCCTGGAGCCACACGGGTGCCGACACCCCAGTCCTTCAAGAGAATGAACCAATATCCGAACTTCAAGGATAAGCTCTCCTTGGGGCAAAACATTTAGCTTGAAGCCTGCTTGCTTGCAAGAGGTGTCCCTGGACCATTCTGTACTCCTTCTTCTACCACTGCCGGCTTTGTGGTTTAGGACACGTTACTGAACTTCTCTGATCCCCACTTTCTGGTCTACAGATGGAAGTGAATATAAAATAAGGGGTGGTAGCAGATGGTCTTGAAGATGCTTCCAAGCTCTATGCAAGAGGAGAGCAGGGGGAGGCAGGGAGATAAAGTCTAACTGTTACGTTACAGACCTAATTGCTAGACCTCCTATCATAGCAGGTAACTAGCAATTAGGTCTATAATTTAGTAGGTATGTTATACTCTGGCTGGTTACAAATTTGTGTTTTTTAACTTGTGCCCACTTTTCCATCAATACAGAGGTAAAACTGTTTAGGCTCAGACCAGTCTTTAAGGTCTACTTGCCCTGCACTACAATCAACCTGTACTATTCCAGAACCTGGCCTTTATTTGTAACGTTATTTCCAAGAGAAATTGCTTTCCAGTTTCCAGCATGGATGTCAGGATTTCTCCCTGCCCTGGGCTCAGTGTCAGGTGAGCCCTTTGCCACATCCCAGCTTCGGAATTTAAGCTCAGCGCATCAGCTGCTAACACTGGAATGTGCCTGTAACAATGAGTGCAGGCAACGAAACCAACTCCTTTAGACATCCCGAATTAGCACTGTCCTTCCATTCTGCACGAGGTCAGCCATGTTGCCAGTGCTGAAACACCTTTTAAAACTCCTGGGCTTTTCTTCAGAGTCACTGAAAATCATACACATGCCACGAGGACCCAGTCACACCCGTGTCCCCTGTCCCCCTTATAGCCAAGCTTCATTTCTGATTGAAAAGGGCATTATTTCTCACCCTGTTTGCCCACCAGATTAATTCGTCTTAGCTCTAGATGACTTAAGGCTGTTTCCCTAAAGTTAAATGCACCCCCAGGAAGACCGCCCTAGGAATATTCTGGAATCTATGATTCAGACTCCGGGGAAATTCCAGAGAAGGGTTTGAAAGAGACTTTCAGCCTGTCCTGGTGCCGGGTTGGTGGTGACAACAGCCATCTGGAGGAGTAAGTCCTGGAATGTTTATTAAATGGCTAGTCACCACTCTGGGTGGCACACCTTATCCTATAATGGGGCTCCATACCACAGTCTTTTGATGTGCAAACGGGAACAAAGTAACACCCATCTTGGAATCCAATGTATCTGAACCAGTAGCTCAGGGACTTCCCCTCCGGTTCTCCACTGTCCTGGTGGCCCTGGCCTGGGCCAACAGCAGCTGAGGAGCCACAGGCCAACCAGGGAGGACCTGCCTTGAGAAACCACCTTCCAACCCTCTCATGGACTTGGGGGGAGGCTGGGACCTTTAATGGGAAGGGGGCCTTATACAAGCCCGCAGGGAAGAGATGGGGCGGGTCTCCATGCTTAGCTCGGTGGCCATCTCCTTCTTCCCGGGAGGAGGCAAGACTCAAAAGTCTGGCAGGGCTGCCGAGGGGCGTCCAGCTCTGGGACCTCTCAGAACAGGGGAATCTGCTTCCATCACTTGCAGGTGAGAGACGCCTGCAGGGAGGAGCTATCTGGGAGCCCCAGTTCCACTCTCTTAGCTGCCAGAGACTCTTGTGGGGAGATAAGGGGAAAGCGCTCCTTTGTGACATATGACATCATCCAGGGTTCGGGCTGGGGCAAATATCATGCCTGTTAGCATCTATCCTTTCCAGCTTTGGCCTGTTGGCAAAGGTGGAGGCCACCACCACGCAGAGCCTGCTGTGACTGAGAGTGCGTGCGTGCGTGTGTGTGTGCGTGCGTGTGTTGGGGGAGGGATGTTCCGCAGGGTGGGCAGGGACCCTCTGCTTCCCGCACCCAGTCCCTCACACAGGCCATCTCTCTCCCTCAGGCCCCCAGAACGCTGATCTTAAATGTCAGCCTCTGGCCTTCTCTGCTTTCCCTCTGTACTGTTCCTGGGGAGGGACAGGGCACTTGGGTGGGTCTGTGTCAGAGATGACAGCACAGGCCCAGGAACCTAAGCATGTGTGAGGCCCTCACACAGCCTTGCCTGGCTCAGGATCAGGTCCAGGAGGCTGGTAAGGGCCTGGGGTGCAGGGCCTTCGCCTCTGGAACTGCTGCTCAGCCCTCATGGCTCAAACCAAGCAACAGGCTTAAGAGTGTTAACGCGGCGTGCGCCACACAGAAGGGCGTCTGGCCCTTATGAGCCATGGGGCCCTGTGAGACGTGGCCATTAGGGCCCCCATCTGTAAGGTGGGGGTGATGGTGGCAATAATCAAAGTGAGCACTAACTTTGCTCCAAGCACTATGCTAACGGTGTTAGTGCAGCACCTCATTCAGTTCTCAAGATGACCCTCAGAGCCAGGTACTATTGTTTTCCCCACATTACAGCTGAGAAAAATGAGGCTCAGAGGAGCAGTCACCCGCCCAGGGGCACATAGCCAGTGAGTGATGGAGGTGGGACTTGAACCTGCTCTGGAATCCCAAAGCTTTGCTTTTAATTATATGATGATCTCTAACACACCTTCAAGGGTTTTTATGGTCTCCTAAATGAGAAAATATTCCTGAAAGTGCTGGTCAACTCCTGAGTGCTGGGCAATGTGAGTGGTGAGTTACTAATAATTCCTATGTGAGTTTTAGCTCCCAGTGAGATGGTGAGGCAGGGCGGGGACACAGCACAGCAATGCACATGTAGCAGGTCTTCTGAGACCTGCTTGGACTGAACTGAGTCAGATGGTATTGCTGGCTGGCCCCAAGCTGCTTTCTTGGACCCTGACAGATGGTACCATCCTGACCATCCTTACCATTCTGACCAAGAGAGGAAGCAATGTGGGGCCCAGGCTGCCCAGGAGGCAGACAAGGCGGCATCAGACTCACCCCACGTTGAGGATCTTGGGTCTCTGTAACCCGGAGCCCTCGAGCCGGAAGACTACGTTGGTGAGGGTGATAGGCAGGGGGTTCTTGAAAACAATCTGTACTTCGCACTCCTGGCCAACCATAGCTGCTCCCAACAACTGAGAGAAAAAGAGACCCATCCCCACATCAGAGACCCCAGTCAAGTACATGGGGTCCATACACCGCATCAGAGAGGGGTCCAAACCTCCTTGAGTCCCACACATCTCCCCCCCGAGAGGAGGCTCTGCATAAGCCGAGAAGCCACCACAGAATCGGGGAGATGCGATCTCACTTTACAGAGAAAACGGAGGTCTGAGAACCCAGAGCCAACCTCCGGTCTCTTCCTTCTAGAACTGCTCGTCAGGCCGTCGTGTTCCTGACTTAGCACCCTGTCCCCGTCGGCTCCATTTCCCTCAGCCCCAGGCCACCCCTCACGCTCCAGCCAGCCGCCCTCACCGTGAGGGAGAGGTCCGGGGTGCGCAGGCGGAACGTGTGCTGCTTGGCCAGCACCTGCCCGCTCTCCTTGACGTGGCCGGAGACATTGAGCAGCATGGCCCCCTGGTCCACAAGGTGGGGCTTGTATTCCTGGTAGGCCACCGGCATGGTCACACGGTCCGCTGGGGAGAAGAGGCATGGTGTCACGGAGGCCTGCTTCCCCGGACATGGCTTCCCAGGGCCTCCAGGGCCATAGCCCCAGTGCCTGGCCATCTAGGGGACAGGGCTGGGGAAGGAGCACTTACAGGCCCCTGGAGCCAGCACCACTTCCTTCTTGTTCTCCTTGAAGACGGACCCGGTGACACCGGTGTAGAAGGTGACCGAGAGGTAGAGGTGCAGCTTCACGGTGCGGCGGCTGCTGCTGCTGCGATTGGTCAGCAACACGCTGACCGCCAGATCCTGCCCCATCACTGCGTCCTGGGCCTCCACCTGTATCGCCACGTCCTCAGCTGAGTCCCGGGTGGCGTACACATTGGGTTTGCTGCCATGGGCGGTTGCTGTCTCCACTGCCTTCCGCTCTGCTTCTGAGCCTGGGGGTTGAGGGTCAAGGGTGAGGTTACGGCTCCTGGGAGGGTGGGTGAGTGCTCAGTGGGAGCATTCGGTCCGGGCCTGCGCTGGCCGGTTGGGGGACGGTACCTTCTGGGTGCTTATAAAGGTGGGTGACATCCTCCTGCATGTTGGAGCCAATGGCCTTTGTGACGATGAGTGTGCCAATGGCCTTCTCCTCCACGTACACAATCTTGAAGCTGCCATCGTCCTGTCGCTGCCAGTAAACCTTGTCACTGTTCACCTATGGGGAGGGGGCAGGGGGTGTGAGCTGCAGTGAGTGAGCCACAGGGTCTGAGGTCGGACCTTCCCTGGATCCTCCAAGCAGCAGGGAGGGTTAGGTGTGAAGGCGGGGAGCTTCCTGGCAGAGCCAAACAGGGCGACTTTCCAAGCTGAGCCAGATGAGGCCAGAGAGCAGGGAGGCTGGTCTGGGAGGCTCCTCGCAAAGCACTTCGGCATTAATAACAGTAATCCCTTACGCTCGTTTGCTGACTTTATGACTTGTAAAGCCGTTTCATACCCATTATTTCTTTTGATCCTGAATACAGGAAGCACGACAGCCATTATTATTCCCTTAGTGGAGGAAACGAAGACTCTTAGAATGACTTTCCCAAGGACACACAGCTGATCAGTCAGCGGTGAAGTCAGGAGCAGAGAACCCACGACTACGCCGGGCCTTGGCCTGCAGAAGGCATGTGGAGCACAACCCTCACCTCGGCGAAAATGAAGGGTGTGTCGTACTTCATGTAGACCAGGCCATTCTTGATGGACTGCAGGGAGCAAGGGCCACAGCAGAAGATGCCTAGGGGAGACAGGGCAGGATGGAGGTGAGAGGTGCAAGGATCTTGGGAGTGGCCCACCCATTCAGGCCTAGTGCCCACTGCCTGGGGGTCAGCTGCCACCCAGTCCACCCGAGGGAGGGCAAACAGGAGAGTGAAGTTCCATTTGGCCTCAGTCAGTGGGGGCAGGGGCGGGGCAGGACCAACCCTGGGGACAACCAAATCATTGACACACTCTTCTTCCATTGGCTGAAGTTGGCTGTTGGCTGTCTGTGATCCCCAGAGGTCAGAACCCTCTACATCAAGACAATTCCAGAGCCCACGGTAACTCTGCTTGCAGTCTGGGAGACCAATGACACCCCAGACACCATTCCAGAAAAATCCAGAACAACCCCTCAGCTCTAAGCCCAATGTGCCCTCTCTGGGGGCGCAGGGGGGAGCTGGTGGGAAGTAGAGTCTGGCCTCATCATGCTCAGGAGGGTTTTTAGAGGAGATGGGCTAACAGGGAAGATGCTTGTCAGGAGAAGACACCATCCAACAGGAAAGACTCTTAGAAAATACCTAGCACTACAGTCCTCTTTTATAGCTGGGGAAACTGCGTCTCAGAAAAGCAAGGTAGATGCCAGGATCTCACAAGACAGCTGGATACAAGAGAATGGACGGAGCTAATATTTACTATGGTCTGGGAATGCTGCTAGTCTCTCTAACATACGACTTCTCATTTGATCCTCCCAACCACCCTGTATGGTATATATTACCCTCATATTACAAACAAGAACACCAAAGCCCAAAGATGCAAGGGCCTTGCCCATGAGGACATATCTAAGAAGTAATCAAGCTGGACAAGCCCAGGTCTGACTGGCCCCAGGGCCTCTGCCTGCCGCCCTCCCCACCACTTCCCAGAGTGGGGCCAGAACTCAGGTCTCGCCATGTCCTGGGCCAGGCGTTTCCAGCATCGCAGATGCCTCTGGGTTGCATAAGTCAGGGGACACTGTACACAGAGATGATGGAGAGGGAGAGGTCTGGCCAGAGACCAGAGGAGAAACGTAGGCTAGGTGAGGGCTACCTGACCCAGTGTGAAGAAGGGGAGGCGGAAGGAAGACAGCAGGGGGGCAGGCTGGCTGCCTGGGGCTGCAGTGTTAAGGTGAAAAGGGGCAGGTCCTGTTTGAGAACAAAGTATACGACAGGCCTAATTTTTGCCATCTTTTTTTGACTTTTGAACCATTTGAGTATGTTAACCATTATCCTATCTAATAAAGAGGGAATATGCTAATTGACCCTCAGGCTGTTGCAAAGATGGCAGCACCCACAGCCAATAAGAAGGGAATATGCTAATTGACTGCCACACCCTCAAAGATGGCAGTGCCCACAGCCACAAGATGGTGACGTCCAGTCCCCTCAGCCCCACTGGGGCCGGCCCAGCCGCTCCGCGCGCCTGCCTCCGGAGACCCCCAGTCCCTCAGCCCCCCAGCCGCCCAGGGCCGGCGCGAAAAAGATGGCGGTGCCCACAGCCACAAGATGGTGACGTCCAGTCCCCTCAGCCCCACTGGGGCCGGCCCAGCCGCTCTGCGCGCCTGCCTCCGGAGACCCGGCCAAGGCTTGCGCTGCCGGCAGTGGCAGTAGTAGAGGTGTGATGGGGTGTCGCCTTCCCCTGACCGCTGGTTTGCCTCCTGCCCCTGAAGGCTTCTGGACTGTGAGAGGGGGCAGGTGGGGCTGAGGGTCCCCCTCCAGTGCGTGAATTTTCATGCACCGGGTCAAGCATATAGTTATGCAGAAAGGTAAAAATAAACTAAAGGCTGCATGGCTAATGAGTCTAAGAACCATGGGGTTAAAGGACCTGGCTCCAAGGCCCCGTCCAGCGCTGACCCTGGAGTTTGTTACCCAGGTTGGGGATGTGGGGACAAAGCCAAAGTGGGGTTCAGGAGCCACGCAGGGCCCCGCCTCACCACTGCTGGTCTCCTGGGGTGTGGCATCCACAACCTGCCAACCATCAAAGCCCGAGGGCAGATCCGGCCTCTTCATCCAGCAGTCATTCCACACGTGGAAGTTCCTGGGCAGACATGGAGGGAGCCTGGGTCTGAGCAGCCCGCCCGACCACCCCGCCGCCCTCAGGGTCCAGGTCTCAGGTCACTGTTCTTTTTTTTTTGTTCCTTTTTAATCCTCACCCGAGGATATGTTCTTATTGACTTTTAGAGAGAGGATAATTTTGAGAGAGAAAGAAACATCGATGGGCCATGGCCGGTTGGTTGGGCATTGTCCCATGCACCGAAAGGTTGCTGGTCAGGGCATATGCCCGGGTTGTGGGCTTGATCTCCAGCAGGGGGTATATAGGTGGCAGCAGATCCACATTTCTCTCTTACATCCACGTTTCTCTCTATACCTCTCCCTTCCTCTCTCTAAAACTCGATAAAAAAAAATCTTTCAAAAAAGTAAGGAAAAAAGAGCCCTAGCTGGTTTGGCTCAGTGAATAGAGCAGGGGTCCTCAAACTACGGCCCGTGGGCCACATGCAAATACAAATACTGTATTTGTTCCCATTTTGTTTTTTTACTTCAAAATAAGATATGTGCAGTGTGCATAGGAATTTGTTCATAGTTTTTTTTTAAACTATAGTCCGGCCCTCCAACAGTCTGAGGGACAGTGAACTGGCCCCCTGTTTAAAAAGTTGGAGGACCCCTGGAATAGAGTGTTAGCCTGTGGACTCAAGGGTCCCCAGTTAGATTCCTGCCAAGGGCACATGCCCGAGTTGTGGGCTTGACCCCAGTAGGGGGTGTGCAGGAGGCAGCCAATCAATGATTCTCTCTCATCATTGATGTTTCTATCTCTCTCCCTCTCCCTTCCTCTCTGAAATCAATAAAAAACAAAAAACAAAAAACATTGATGGGCTGTCCCTCGTATGTGCCCCGACTGGGGACTGAACCCAAAACCTAGGTAGGTGCCCTGTCCAGAAATTGAGCCCAAAGCTTTTTTGGGGTACAGGAGAACATTCCAACCGAGACACCTGGCCAGGTCTCGGCTCACTGCTCTTGGCAGGGACGAGCAGTCCAGCCCCAGCCCCAGCCCCAGCCTCACCAGACAGAATCATGGTTCAGATGCTCGAGCGGCTTCATGTTCTCATCGAAGTAGATGTCCATGGTGAGGGACGTGTCTGTGTCATGCGCTGAGTTGAAGTTGGTGACGGTACGAGTGGCCAGGCCCAAGCAGCGCAAAACTGCAGAGGAGCCAGGGTTGGGGGTTCAGGGCCCAGGGCCAGGGCAAAGGTGGGGGGCAGGGCAGGCATCAGGTGAGTAATAGCAGGGGGAGAAGGGCAATGGGGTTGCCAAGCTGGGTCAGCGGTCATTGGGGTGAGGAGGCCTTTGGGTCAGGGTGTGTTGGGGTTAGGGGAAGCCGGGCCACCTGACTGGCTTTGTCCTTGCTGCCTCTTCTCCCTCCCCTCCCCTAGGCTTCTCTCCGGTTGTTAACATTAATTAATGATAATTAAGGCCAGCCTACCATCCACCCCCACCTGCCCCTACACTGTAGCCACAGCTGGGCCTGGCTCATGAAGGTGTAGCCCGGCTCCCCACCCTCCTCCTTGTCCGGCCCAGGCCCCTCCGGTGCTAGTCCCTCCACTACCTGAGGTGGTCACACCGGCGAAGACCCAGCACTGGCCGTAGGGGACAGAGGAGCCGGTGCGCAGGTAGCTGAGGAGGATCTCCACGCTGCCCACCCACGCTGACGGGTTGGTGCCTCGGGAGTAATCGCCAGACCAGTTCCCAATCAGGACCCCATTGTCATCTAAGGAGTTCACCTGTCCAGGACAGAATGGGATGGGAGGAGCAGGAGGAGAGGCTCAGGATCTGCCATGTGGTCAGGCCCAGCCCCTGGCACTACAAACACTCTCACCCCTAAATGCCTCAGGATCTAGCTGAGCCACGCCCACCCCTGCCAGCGTCATTCCCCCCTCCCCCACCTCTGGTTTGACACAAGAATGTGAACCCTGGGTGTGCCAAGTATTGGGTTTGGCCCTACATTCCATAAGAGCTGGGACAGGAGCCAGGAAGGGTGGGGTGGGGGACAGGCAAAGGAGAGAAAAGGAGTGAGACCCCTTCCCAGGAAACCATTTGCAAGGGCAGGGCAGGGCTGGGGTCCTGGAGGAATCAGAAAGGCCCGAAGAGGGAGGCCAGAGAGGCAGCAGGCAGACACACAGTAGGGCTCAGAGCCATGAGGGTGCTCACCATGGCAGAGATGACTCGGGAGACACTGACTGGGTCCCCACGGCCTCCATATGGCATGCCCCGCCGGTCCAGGATGTACAGGCAGGCATCCAGCACCCCATGGTCAAACTGGAAGGAGGGAGGGCAGAGGTGACCGCAGCCCGAGGTGGCCACGCTTGACCCTAGGCCAGCCTCTCCTCTCCCACCCCTCCCCACCTGCCTCTGGCTCCCCGAGTGCACCTGGCCCTGGCCCGCTGTACCTGGCCGTAGTTCCACGTCCGCTCCCCAATCTGTGCTTCAGTCCCATAGTAAATCCTCCCAGACTCATTGAGCACGTACTCCTGCCGCCAGTCCTCACGGTCCACATACACGATGTCCTCTGCATCCCCAAAACACACAGGCCTGGTTCCCTCCAGCCCTCTCCCCGGCCCCCCTGCCCCGGGCCAGCTCTGCAGGACTCACGTCCACAGAGGAAGAACAGGGACCCCTCTAGCCTAAAAGCGCCCCTCCCACAAAGGACGGAGGGAGCATGTCAGACATGGTGGGAGGAGGGTGGCTGTAACTGGGGCCCTTCACCAGGAGAAGCGAGGCTGTGTGACCTTGAGGTGGTCGCCTATCTACATAGGACCTAGAGCCCCTCACCTGGAAAAAGGGGGGCTGGCTTCTCTCGGGGCCAGGCCCCCAGCTGGGTCCTCGCAAAAGAAGCCCGACCTTCCTTCTCTCCCGTCTACCCCCTGCCCCTGACTCCGGCAGGCTCACCTGGGCACCAGGGATTGAAGAGGATGTAGATCTCATTGTGGGGGTCGAAGGGCAACAGGAACTCGCCAGCCTCTGAATGTGTGCGGACTGTGAACTGAAACTTGCCGATGATGGCGTTGGGGGAGGTGTGGACCCGCAGGTTCAGATTCTGCCCACTGGACTTGGTCACCTGGGCCTTCCAGCCTCCACTGCCCCCCTTGCCCACCGGGATGATCACATGGGTGCCCTTGCCCACCTCGGGGTTGTTTCCTAGAATGGGGAAAGCAGCAATTAGCTGGTGAGGCCTACCTGCAGTAGGGGGGATGGAGCCTTAGACTTCTCCCAGCCCCACCCAGGATGTGTATGAGCCAGTGAGTGTGCCCCTGAGTTGGGCCATCGCCTTACAGTCAGAACAGCTCTGTCCCCGCCCGATGCTTGTCCACATGCCAGGGCAGAAACCCAGTCCAACGTCCCAAACCTGTTCCCCTGACACTGAAGGCAGAGGTGGGCAGGAGAGACCAGGCCACCGTCACCCTCTGCCTGCCTCCTGGCCCCGCTCCTGCCCTGGCGGGCCCAGATGCCTCCACCTCACGGGGAAGGGCAGTCCAGATCCTGAAGCCAAGCCTGCCTGCCCCCTGGGCTGTCCCTTCCACAGCCCAGGGCATCCCTGGTGGAGGTGGTGGGTACTTGGAAAATTAGAGGCGGGGTGGGCAAGGCCGGGGCCTAATCAAAGGGTACGAGGAGTCACCCGCCCCCGGCAGCATGGTAATCACCAGCCTGCGCAGTCAACGGCCACCAAGCAACGCGGTGAGGGAGGCACCTGACCTGGGCCCTGGAGACAGAGGAAACAGAGGGACGGAACTGGGCAGAGAGGGCAGAGCAGGAAGGAGAGCAGAACCAGAAAGACACACAGGGCAGCAACACCCAAGCAAACATCCGAGGAGAAAGAGTATTGAGAAAGATGCCCCTGGAGGCTTGGAGGTGAGCTTAGGAAAATGGGAACACCAAGGCTCCCCTCAGACACACCCCTAGGGACACACACACTTGCACCCTCCGGATCTGGCAGAGGGTGAGGAGTGAGGCGAGGGAGGAGCCCGAAGACGCCCCTCTGACCCTAATACCAGGACTGGGAGGCCCTGCTCGCCAGCCCCGATGTCCAAGCTTCCACCCTTCCCACTGCAGGCCGCACTGACCGATGTGCAGCTCCAGGATGACGCGGTCGGAGGACTCGTAGGGCCGCGACAGGAAGAGCACCATGTGGAAAGGCTGCCCACGGCGCAGGATCAGCTCATCGTACTCGAACTCGTCTGTGTGGTGCTCTTGGCGGTTCTGGTCCGAGCGTGAACACATGAGATCCACACCCGTCACCACCAACATGCCCTCTGCAAAGTCACAGCTCCTGGTCAGCCAAGCGCCCTGGGGGAGCCCAGGCCCCCAGCATTAGCCTCCCAGGCTCTCCGAGATGCCAGGGGGAGCCCCAGTCCCCACTGAGGCCTTGCGGCTCTCAGCTCAGGTGGACAGGCCAGCCTCACCTCGGATGACACCATCTCCGGCCGCGTTCACACCGCTGCCCCGCGAGATAGGCCGGCGGGAGTCTGAGCCCCGGGAGCCAGGCCTTCGTCCCCCAGAGCTGGACCCTCCACCCCTGGAGCCAGAGTCTCTGTGGGGCCCAGTCCCCCAGTCATCGTCCGCCCCACTCCGGCAGGAGCAGCAGCTGCAGCATCGAGCCCAGAAGGAACGGCTTCCTCTGCGGGACCGTCTGTCCGGCTCCGGCTCCGGCTCCGGGGAGGGTGTTGTGGGGGGCTGCCAGGGGCTCACGCCCCAGCGGCCCACATCGGAACGAGGACCGTCCATCATGTCTGCGTGGAAGAGGCAGGGAGGCTCGGGTCAGTCACCCTCCAGGTTTCCTTTCACCAGGAGCCCAGCCAGAAACCCGCCATTCAGAGGGCTGCTTTGATGCCAGCCAGTGACAAAGATGGCCTTATTTTTGATCCAGAGATTCCCCCAGACCCAACCAGAGGCCCTCCCTGAAGGCCCCGCTCAGGCTTTACCTCGGAAACCTCCGCCCTGAAGGGGGGAGGCGCCCCCCTCCCCAGACACCCA